TTTAAGTTTTTTTTTCTTATTTTTATTCATTCTTTTTGTATTTTATTTACTTTACACTATCCAATGGCTTTGGGTTTTTTTTAAACTACTTTCATTCATAACAATGTAAAATAAATCATTCTGGGTACAATAATTACTTTGATTCTTACACCACCTATGATCCCTTTGTATAATTACTGAGATTTTACCAATTTGTTTTTAAATTTATCAAATTCTTCAGAGCCAAGTCTTCTCTAATATTTAACACTCCACTCATCTTAAACAAAGACATTTCCTGTATTACTACTGTGATGCTTAAAGATTAATGACAGCTTCATAGAATCTAAAATTACATTGGAGACTGGTATCATGAAATGCCTGTGAAGAGTAATATTTGATTACATTAATTAAGTAATATCATTAATTAATTATGAGTGTCACAATTCAGTGCATAAGGTGTAAATCAGTTTATAATATGGAAAAAGTGAGCAGAACACTAACATGTATTCCTTACTCTCTTTCCGTATTATGGATGCAATGTGGCCAGTTTCTTTGAGCATCTGTCTCTTTTACTTCTCTACCATATGGATTACATCTTAGAACTGGAAGCCAAATTAGATCCTTTGCCCCTTAATTTGCTTTTGTGAGGGTGCTCTGTCAAAAAATAGAAAAACCACTAAAACAGTGACGTTTCAATATTGAGCCTGTAAATGAATTTCATACCAATTGCCATTTCACCATTCAAATATGATTCATTTTTTCCATACTGATAACTTTAACAAATCCAGAAAGAACAGTTGACCTTGGAAATTCTGAAATGTTGTTATTAAATACACAAATAATACAAACCAAAAACCAAAGAAAAGTATAATTATTGACAGAAATTCAACTTTGTGTTATTAAAACAAACTAATTTTTTATTCCAAAGTAAAGCTTAATACAATTTAGATTTTAATAAAATTATTTTGGTTATTATCTCATATTTTATGCCTCTCTCACATCTTCCTTTCTTATTACAACCAACCCTGGTAGATAATGATTTTTATTCTTTACAGGTTATAGCTTTCTTGGGAGGATAGAACTAACTTTAAAGTGGTAATTAGATTATAATAAGACTCTGACAGTTGGTTTTGCTCCAAACACTCATGATCATATAAGAAAAATCATCATCTGCACAGAGGGCAACAGGGAAAAGATGACGTGATAACTAACATGGGAAGAAGTGAGCTATTTCCAAGCTAAGAAGAGAGGCCTGGACCAGAACCCATACCCACTTACCCTAGTTAGGAATGACCACTTCTGACACCTTAAGGTTGGATTTATGTACCAAAACTGTGAGAAATTAAGTTTCTGGTGTTTGAGATACTCAGGCTTTGCTCCTTGATTATGCAATACATGACAGATATAACAATGTATTAGAGGAAAACTGTCAGCAACTAAATTAAAGAAGGAGGTGGAAAAAAATTAATGTACTCCAGGGTGATACAAAAATATATAACAAGATACTTAATTTCAAAAAATGGTGATGTTCTTTGTCCATAGGGTTAAAATGTTTCAAATCTAAGTATTCAATTGGATATTCCATTTAAAAGTCTTTTTCTCTGTTCTTACTAAATTGTAAGTCATTGACATACTAGTCAAGGTTTATTCGTTCAAATTGAATTAAGTAAGAATATTTTAGATCAGTTAAGATTTTCTAGAAGGAGCTTGTATAACTTTGAAAGAGATTACATAACATAGATCACTAAAAACTTCAATGTTCTAACAAACAAGGAAGTTGCAGGAATCACTGAATCACTGAAAGTCAATGGTGTTTCTTCAGCTACTTTAGACTTTCTGATTAGAAGATGTTTAATTACATGTAAAACTTTATGCCTTGTATTTCTAGATACATTTCCTTTATCATTGTTTTTATTGATATTTCACTTTTGAATATCTATTTTCAAACAATTTTCCTGCGTGATATCCTATGGTAATAAAAACAACTCATATTTGCTTACCCATTTCAACAGTCTCCACTTAGATATCCAATCAGCTTTTCATTAGGACATTAGAATTACTTTGAGATATCTCTATTTTCTTTTTGTATTAAGAAATTTTTTATTCATTTTATGTACCATAGATCCCCCTCTCTTCCTTCCTTCTGACCCCCCCTGAGCCTTCTTCTGCAACCTACCTCCCATAACCTCCTCCAAAATGGTAAGGCCTCCCATGGGGAGTCAGCAGAACCTGGTACATTCAGTTGAGGCAAGTCTAAGCCCCTTCCCCTGTATGAATGTGCAAATGTCCCAGCACAGATAGTGGGCTCCAAAAAGCCAGCTCATGTACCAGTGATGGATTCTTATCCTACTGCCAGGGGTCCCCTTAAGTAGACAAGCTACACAACTGTCTTACTTATGCAGAGGGCCTAGTCCAGTCACATGGAGGTTCCACAGCTGTTGGTCTAAAGTTCATGAGTTCCCATTAGCTTGGTTTGGTTGTCTCTGTAGGTTTCCTCATTGTGATCTTGATGCCCCTTTCCTATAGAATTTCTCTTCCCTCTCTTTGACTGGACTCCTAGAGCTCAGCCTGGTTCTTGGCTGTGGATCCCTCCATCTGTTTCCATCAGTTACTGGATGAAGGCTCTATGATGACAGTTAAGATATTGACTGATCTGATAGCTGGGGTAGGCAAGTTCAGGTACTCTCTCTGCTATTGTTAGTAGTCTAAGCTGGGGTCATCCTTGTGGATTCCTGTGAACTTTCCTAATACCAGGTTTCTCCCTATCCCCATAATGTCTCTCTATATATGGTCTCTCTTTTATTACTCTCCCTCTTCATCCCTGTTCTAGTTAGACCATCCTGTTCTGTTATTTTCTCATCCCCCATCCCCTACCCTCTGTTGCTGACCCTCACTCCCAGTTTACTCTGGAGATCTTATCTATTTCCCCTTTCCAGGAAAGGGAAAATTCCATGTATCCCACTTAGGGTACTTTTCGTTAGCTGGCTTGTCTGGAGCTGTGGGCTGCAGTCTGGTTATCCTTTGATTTACATCTAGTATTCACTTATGAGTTGAGTACATACCATATTTGTCTTCCTGAGTCTTGTCACTTCACTCAGGATGATATTTTGTAGTTCCATCCATTTGCCTGCAATATTCCATGATGTCATTGTTTTTGACTGCTGAGTAATACTCCATTGTGTACATGTGCCACATTTTCTTATCCATTTTTGTTTGAGGGGCATCTAGATTGTTTCTATATTCTGGCTATTATGAATAATGCTGTTATGAACATAGTTGAGCAAGTGTCCTTGCATAATTGAGCATTCGTTGGGTATATACCCAAGAGTGGTATCACTGGGACTTGAGGTTGATTGATTCCCAATTTTCTGAGAAAACACCATACTGATTTCCAAAGTGACTATACAAGTTTGCACTCCCACCAAAGTTGAAGAGTGCTCTCTTTGCTCTGCATTCTCTCCAACATAAACTGTCTTCAGTGTTTTTGATCTTAGCCATTCTGACAGGTATAAAATGTAAGTTGTTTTGATTTGCATTTTCCTGATGACTAAGGATGTTGAGCAATTCCTTAAATGTCTTTCAACCATTTGATATTCTTCTGTTGAATTCTCTATTTAACTCTGTAGCCCCTTTTTAAATTGGATTGTTTGCTATTTTGATGTCTAGTTTCTTGAATTCTTTATATATTTTTGGAGATCAGCTCTCTGTCAGATGTGGGATTGGTGAAGATCTTTTCTCATTCTTGTAGGCTGTCATTTTGTCTCATTTACCATGTCCTTATAGAAGCTTCTCAGTTTCAGGAGGTCCCATTTATTAATTGTTGCTTTGAATGTCTGTATTACTGTGTTATATTTAGGAAGTGCTCTCCTGTGCCAATGCATTCAAGACTACTTTCTACTTTCTCTTGTATCATGTTCAGTGTACCTGGATTTATGTTGTCTTTGATCCATTTGGACTTGAGTTTTATGCATGTTGATGGAGATGTATTTATTTGAAATTTACATGTTGACATCCAGATATGCTAGCAGAATTTGTTGAAGATGCTCTCTTTTTTCTACTGTATAGTTTTGGTTTCTTTGTCAAAAATCAGATGTTTATGGGTGTGTAGATTAATGTCAAGGTCTTCAATTAGAGTACATTGGTCCACATGTCAGTTTTTATGCCAATATCAAGGCATTTTTCTATACATAGTTCATTATTTTTCCCAGGTCTGTGAAGAATTGTGTTGGGATTTTTATGGTGATAACATTGAATCTGTAGATCACTTTTGGTAAGATTGCCATTTTTACTACATTAATCCTACCTATCTATGAGCATGGGGGATCTTTCCATTTTCTGATATTGTCCTCAGTTTCCTTTTTCAGAGACTTAAAATTTTTGTCATACATGTCTTTGTCTTCTCTCTCTTTCTCGCTTGCTCTCTCTCATCTCTATCTATCTATCTGTCTGTCTATCTATCTATCTATCTATCTATCTATCTATCTCTTCTTTCCATCCTCCCTCCATCTCTCTTCCTCCTCTTTCTCTGTTTTTTTCCTCTGTCTATCTGACCCTCTCTTTTTCTCTCTCTCTCTCTGTGTCTTTGTGTGTGTTTGTGTGTTTATAACTTTTTTATGTGCATGAGTGTTTGCATCATTTTTATGCAATATATATGTGTAGTGTCTTTGGAGGCCAGAAGAAGACATAGGATCATCCAGAGCTAAAGTTATAAGCTGTTGTAAGCTGCCCAACTGGGAACTGAACCCAGGTCCTCTTTAAGAACAAGTGTTCTCAATTTCTGAGCCATCTCTCTAGAATCCTAGAATACAGTTTTGATGTAAATAATACATGGATTTGATTTTGTTCCCTGTTGATTTCTTAAGATTAGAAAAAAAATAGAAAAAAAATTTTACATATTATTGAAGTCCAACAGTATTTAATTAGCATAAAGCTTTTATGCTAATACTGTCTTCCAAAAATCTGTGGTTTTTTTTTTTTTTTTTTTTTTTGTTGTTGTTGTTGTTCCTTCCCTTTTCTTTTCAGGGAAGAGTACAAACGAGGCCACCACTACAACAAATTCTGCAGTCAATTGCCCTGTATTTGGGGAAATTACAAGGGTCAATGCAATTTGAGTACAATGGATAACCTTGCCCTAGGAAAACCATCTTCATTGTCATGGTATCTCCCCTGCCAGGAAAGTGTTGTTGGTTGTTTTTACTCTTTTTGGGGGCCTGCCACCCAGCTCCAAAGTAAATGCACAAGGAGGCATATTAGTACTTAGAAATGCTTGTCTGGCTTTAGCTTGGCTTACTTTTGCCAGCTTTCCTTAACTTAAATTATTCCATTTATCTTTTGCCTCTGGGCTTTTCCCATTCTCTTACTTCTGTAAATCTGACTATTACTCTGTAGCTTGTTGTGTATCTGGGTGGCTGTCCCCTGATGTCTTCCTTCTTCCCTGGTTCCTTGATCTCTTCTGCCAGATTTCATCCTCTATATATTTTCTCTGCCTGCCAGCCCTGCCTATCCTTTCTCCTGCCTTGCTGTTGGCCAGTTCTTTATCAGACCATCAGGTGTTTTAGACAGGCACAGTATCATAGCTTCACAGAGTTAAACAAGTGCAACTTAAACAAAAGTAGCACACCTTAAAATAATACTCCACAACAGGTAAGTATGTGATTTTCCCCCTTTTACCATCAAGAGCAGTTTATCATTGTCCCAAGGTAGCTCCTTAGTCAGGTGTTAATAGGTTGGTTAGCATACAATGTAATCATCTTCCTATTCTGATCGAACAGACCACTACTAATATTAAAACAATAGCTCAAATGTTACTTATGATGCTACTTAAATCTCTTATGATCATAGATTTTATAGAATAATTCACATATAAACTAAATGAGGTTTAAAAATACAAATTGGCTAAAAAGTATGTGTCTCATCTGAAACTGTGTTGAAAGAATTAAGAAAATGTTTTGATAAAGGGAACATTCACAATGTCGTAGGAAAGACAGATGACAAATGTGGACAATACTGTATTAATTCTACCTTAAGCACTTAGAAATATTGAATTTTTAAGATGAATTACATTATGCCCAACATTAGTTAGCTCATTGTTTTTATTTAAATATAATTAATTAGATAATTTGGATCAAAATATAAAGGAAGTTTTATAATCCTTCAGAGAACAAGATATAATCTTTCTAGTATTTCCCAAGAACTAATTGAAATGAAGAATCAGTAAATGGTTGGTTAATTGTTTGCTTACAAATCATCTATAAATGCAGAGCAATAATTAAAACTATGTTTATTTTATTCTAAATAATAAATAACTACACACCTAAGATTTAATGCCCAGGGAAATGGATCATCAGGTGAAATACTTGATGCACAAGCATTAGGACCCAAAACCCATGTAAAGCTATGTGTGTTAAAGCACATCTTAAAGAAAAAAGATTGTGGGCTCTCAATGAACAGTATTATAGATGAAAAGAAAAGTTCCAGGTGCAGTGAAAACTCTGCCTCAAAAACCATGTTCAGAATTATTTTTAGAAATATTTGATTACTATTGCTAATAAAAACTATCAATGGACTATATAATATAAGAAGGATACACCTGGGAAATGATAGAGATGAAGAGAAATTGTAGTCCTAGCTAACTGGGAATGCATTATTCTCAATTTAGAGTGAGAAAGGGACAGAAGAAGATAGATAAATTGCCATATAAGCAATGAATACATAGATTGATGATAGGTACATGATAGATCAACTGGTATGACAGTCATACTCTATAAAAATCCAGGAAAATAAGTCAAGTGCAAGGGGTATATACACAGGAGGGACCCAATTTTCTTTCCCTACAGAATAATCCATGGAAGTCTTTCTGACAAGATACTTTTGGTGACACTTATGGAGGAATGAAATAGAAAAACCAAGGTTAGGTTTACATGCTGTGTGTATCGATTGACTAAATGAATGCAAGCTTAAGCATGAGCCATGTACAATTGGTAAAATGTTAAAAGGAAGAACTGAACAAATGAAGAAATCTTAATTAGATTGTCAAGAGTAATGACAAAGAGCTTTGCCCTCAAGATATATAATTCTGATGAAATTAATAAGTTGTATGTATTGGATGGGTTGACAGTAAATGACTTTTAATGGGGTTATGAAGAAAGTAAAACTTCTTTCATCTAAATTATTTAAAACATTTCTATTACCTAATAAAATATGATTTCAAGGGTTGCCAATGATATTCAATAAATGGATTATGTTGCTGATACGGTAAATAGAGATGATCGTATAATTCTGACAGAAATGTATATCAATGGCAAATAATTACAGTATTTAATATTTCATTAAGGACAATAACTGAAGTAATCATGGGCCTTAAGGAGAAAACATTAATGTTCAATAGTCTTTGACAGTGTTTGCTCTTTAAGACTTTGATCAAATTATTTTTAAAGAAGAAAACATAAGCAATGCAATTTTTCATGCTGAAAAATGAAATAAAATATTTTTAAAAATATTTCTATGGCATGTATAGATATGGTATCACACATTGTGATAAAAAATGTACTGGGTCAGTTAGGTGATGTCTAAGGAAGATCAGAAAACTTGAACATGGAAGTAAAAATTACTAAAAATAAAGTATAAAGTAAAAAAATCAATCAACTAGAATTACTTACCTGAGCATTTGTGCCATTGTAGAGTAATATAAAGTTGTTAAACAACTGTGTAACTGGAGTACAAGGAGAAGAGAGAGTGTGAAAGCAGAAAAAAGTTATAGTAAAGGCTAATATTTTTCCAAATGTAATAGAAACCATATACCAACCATATACCTACACATATAATGCATCCAAACAACCTCTGGTCTTTTCTCACCCACTCCTCTTCCCAATCCCCCACACCTCCATTCTTCTCAGTTCCCCCCATCTTTCCTCTTCCCCAAATCCAATGCACCTCTGTTTCCCTTCAGAAATGAGCAGACCTCCCAGTAATATCAATGCAACTTGTCATAACAGGATGAAATAAGACTAGCCATATGCCCTGGTATCAAGCTTGTACAAGGGAACTCAGTAGGAGGAATTAGTTTCCAGGAGCAGACAAAAGAGTAAGAGATACCAACACTCCCACTGTTAGGAATCCAACCAAAAGCTCTAGCTAAATAACCACAGCATGCATGCAGAAATTCTTCATTGAAAAATGAAGATGCAGTTTATAATCCCAGTAGCCAGAGGGCTAAGGCAAAAATAAATGAGTTGAGGCCAGCCAGGGCTACATATTGAAGGACTATGTGACATCGACCCCATTAAAAGAAGATTCTCCCATTTACTGATGGCTCACACCTTTAATCCCAGCACAGAGGAAGTAAAGAAACACTGGTATCTGCATGTTCCTACCCAGCCAGGGTGACATTGTGAGATCCTAATGCTAAATAAGCAATGTAATTTTTAATTTAAAAAGCTGGAAGTTGTCTTTTAGAATATTTTAGGGTCTAATGAGACTACTGGAAACATAAAATATTCCTCATATAGATGTATAAAGAAAATCATTAAATACACTAAATTTCAAATGTTTGCTTGTGTAGACTGAAAATGGCAATGGAGACAATGCAAAATATCTTCCAGAGATAAACACAGAATGATTTCAAAGAAGGTCCTTTCTCTGTCTGTGCACATCTTAAAGTCTTTACTTTCTTTAAAGGAAACCAAATATTGATCACCTTTGAATCTAAGACTGTCCATCAAGCATGAAGAAAATTTATATTTAAGATGCTTACTGAATAAAGGTGTGAATTAATGACTATAATACCTTGTATGTGAAGAAAAATCTAGACTTCAAAGGTCTTTTTTTTTTTAATTCATTCCTCTAGTTGTTTGTAATGATATCTCTTGTGTCAGGTTGGATGGTTTTCAAATGAAAACTGGTGTCTACTTTTCTCAAGTCAACAGTTTCTAATACTTACTGAAATAAAGAAGACTGACAAAGGCATTTGTGTGATATTTACACCTCGGATAAAGAAAGGGAAGTTTGAGCATTTGAGAAGTTGCCTTTTTGGAAAATTTCTAATGAGTTTTGAAGAAAAACATTTGGCTACCCTCAATTTCAGAAAATAAAATTATAACCTTCTATAAAGACAAGTATTCATTAAGTTCACTCATTTTTAACATACATGCAATAGAGCAAAATATAGTATTCATAAATGACTAGTGAATTTAATGTTTAATGTTAATTATTGTGAATTATGGGGGAAATAGCCTGGAGTTCAAGAACACAGTTTTATAAAGATAATTTGGTGCAAATATTATATCCATGAATGGAGAACTTAAGTGTCATGCAACTACATGTCTCCAATAATTGCAGAATAACTAAGTGATACAACACATTTTAAATTAAAGCTATTATAAAAAGATTTTTAAAATGACACAAGCCTTTATTTTTACTTTAATATATAACATTTTTTTACGTGGTGGAGGAAGTTAAAACATAACATATAAATACATATGAATGAAAAAACAGTAATATATTTTCCATTGAAAAATGAATGGATACTATACATCAAAATAATTTCAAGTTTTGTCATAGAGCAAATCTCAATTTTCTGTTTTACAATTATCTATTGGGTTTCTATTGCTGTGAAGAGACATCATAATCATGGCAACTCTTACAAAAGAAAACATTTAATTGGGACTGTCTTATACCTTTAGAGATTTAGTCCATCATCATCATGGCAAGGAATATGGCCATAGGAAGACAGATGTGGTACTGGAAAAAGATTTGTGAGTTCTACATCTTTCTCCACAGGCAGAAGGAGACTGGTTACTACACTGGGCATAGCTTGAACATATTAGACCTCAAAGAAAGTGTGGATAAAGTGTGTCACTGTGGGAGTAGGTTTTGAGGTCTCCTATTCTCAAGTTATACCTAGTATGACAGTCCATTTCCTATTGCTTATAGATCCAAATGTATGTATCTCAGCTCCTTGTCCAGCACATGTCCACCTGTATGCCACCATGTTCCACCATGATAATATCCTAAACCTCTGAAGCTGTAATCCACCCCAATTAAATGTTATCCTTCATGAGATTTGCTGTGATCATGGTGTCTCTTCATAGCAATAGAAGCCCTGACTAAGGCAGACAGTTAGATAAATTATATATATATATATAGATCGATCGATAGATAGATAGATGATAGATAGATAGTAG